CATAATTTTCTAATGAAAATATCACTTTCCCCATAAATTCTATTTAATTTTTCCTATAGCTACAGTGAACAATTTATTTTGGCTGTAACACAGATCCTTTTTTGTCTGAGACTATACTCAGAAACTTTCTTTAGAGTGTCAAAGTATTCTCAAGAAGATTTCAGGTTTACCTAACTAAATGAAACCAGAACTACAGTGGCAACTGTAGTGATTCAGAGAATGTTACAGTAGAATGAAGCAGTATCACAATCTAAGGCAGGATTCTGGAATAAAGTGACAGGTAATAGAGCTATTAGCATATGAATAGGAAGATGGATGGAGTATTATTAATGTCAGTTAGGACAAGAAAAGATTTATTGCTCAGTTAACTCTCTAAATGAACTGACACAGTGGGGTTTGTAACTCAAAGCACAGTATTGGCAGCAAATTGGTGAGGGGATGGTATTGCTTTATCCTTTGCATGGTCTCCCAGTGTTAAGATCTCTTCTGCTTTTCTCCAGCTGTAGAAAACGATCAATTTCAGTCTCATAGCCAATGAAGGCAAAAGAACTTATTTTCCTGAGCACCCGCAGAGTGATCATATTTCAGTCAGCTTTCCTGCTGTCCATCAGCATCAAGAAACCTTCAGACTGCACTAAAGTTAGCGCTAACCCCAAGTGTCTCCCAGTCACACATGCTAGGGCCCTAACGCTTTGGGGACAGTCACACCCAAGGCAGAGAGAACTGACCAGAACCTCCTGAGAGGCAAGAGAGGAGGGACTACTCACCTACCCTGTGGCGTGTATTTTCCGTAAGTTTGCTTTTGCCTGTGCCCAGTTCAACACAGAATGTCTAGCCTTTGGGACTATCTAGGTCCTATATACAATAAGGCATCAAGTTTGCACACTCTGTATTGCTTCCTGGATGATCTTTCCTCTAGTGATAAAGGGAGCCAGTGCACCTAATACAGGCCTTTTCAATACCCTGCAATGCCACCTTCAGTATTCTTCTGGATAAAGATTCCTAAATTCCAGGTAAACTTCAGCAGAATTTAGGCAGCCTAGTATTTTAAAGTCTCATTTTTAAACCTTTTGCCATTTTACCTCTTGGCAATGAGTGTGTCAAGAAGCTCAGAGAGAGGTCCACAAAACACTATGGGATTCTGTAACAGAGGGCTTTAGTAACCTGGTGGAGATTTCTCATCTTTAACTGAAGAAATTTCTGCTATTTCCTTTGAGATCATTTGGGTTTTGGTACAGACACACAATCCAGCACAATGGAAGCATAGCAGTTACCTTTTAAACAAAAAAGCGTATAAACTACCAAATTTTAACCTCATGAAAGGGCAAAGTGTTGTGGCATATGCCAGAGGTAGCCATGTGAATTTCAATGTATCCTTTGCTCATTATCAGCTGTTGTCTAAATCCAGCTTCTGAGTTTCTATATATCAAGAATCTGGAGCTGGGTTCCCCACATGCCACTTCTCTTCTACTTATTAACCCTATTTCACACACTCAAGTTTGAATATGACAGTCTTGTAGCTTTCTGCAAGATATAGTTCAGAGAGAATTATTGTCACAGAAACATGGAAAACAGGGAGGAGAATTTATAATATGTTGTTAAAGTTGTACGTAACATTCAAAATCCAGAGATATACCCCTCATCCCAATGCTACTGTTATTATAAAATTATTTTCAGTAGCATATGAAAGTGGAGATTGTGCTTTTTGCTGTAATTTGGGCAATGAGATTTGTGACACTACCTTGTATGCTTCTATGGGTTTGGGTTTTTGAAGGAGAGAACATAGGGAGGGTAGGGTGATGGCAAATGTCTTGCTGGCCTAAGAAGAAGCATTTACAGCTTCATTTCTTGAAAGCATGGTATTCTTGTGCCAGGACCAGAACAGAGCGCTGTAGAAGATATTTCTGTGAACAGAACACAGGAAGAACCACCATCAACTATTACACCACACTGGATGATTTTAAGTCAAAGCATTGACCTAGTTAATTGTAGTTCAGGTTTCAGCAACAAATATTCTCAATATAATCAAATAATCTGTTTTCTTTATTCAGTCAAGGTGAAAAGTGACCACTAGATTATAAATTGTGAAGAATTTGACATCTTGCACTTGAAGCATGCTTTCAATCAGTGTTTAATTTGAATGTAAGAGCAGATTGTGTTTCACTTCCCAAGACTGTCTCACTTCTGAATTTTCTCCAGTAGAAAGGTACTGTTTAATCAGCTACATTTGCTCTGTGCGGCACTGTCTAGTTTAAACTTTGTTTCCTGTTATGTTTTATCCTCTGGCTTAAAAAGCTTATTAGTACCTGCTGTTACATCCCTGTGATGGCATGTACGCAATGTAATCACATCACCTCTTTCCTTGAAAAGCTGAGTAGGTTGGGCACCTGAAGTCTCTCCCTGGAGAGGAACTACTTCAGATTATTTTTAAGGTTCCTTTCTTAACCTTTCAAGGTTCTCAATATCTTTTTCTTAAAATGCAGATACCAAAACTGGACAGCTTGCAACATTTGTCTCACTGGTGTTTCAAGCAGAGGAAAAATCTACTATTTCCTTCTTGTTTCTCCTCTGAAACATCCAGAGATAGCTGTATTCTCTTTAGGCCCCTTTTCCCTAGGAATATAGGAAAATTCTTTCCTATTTTGATCCCTACACCCTCCCCGGTGTGCAGAGTAAACCACACACTGCTCCAGAGTGGCTGGCACTTTGTCACCTGGAGATGTGTTTTTACATTAAGCTCTATTAAAGCACATTCTGTTTCAACTAAGTTCATCTTATCTGGTCCCTAATAGATTACAGTGTAATGAGAATGTCATGTATCATTGCACAGCACTCTTGGTGAAAACCTATTATGGACACAGATGTGTAACTTTACTAACCGCACTGATAACTTCCTCACAAAAACATGAATCATATTTGCTTGGCAGGCCACTTCCCATAAAAACACTTTGTGCATACATTGGATTTTTTTCTCTCTTGTTTTTCTTTGACTTGGTTAATGGCAGCCTAATCAGCCTGTAACTAACGGGTCACCATTATTAGTTTTCCTGGACCTTATCAGGAAACTGAACACTAAGTCTTTCAAGATTTTCCTGTTATGCCAAGATTTACTTAAAGTAGTTAGTGTCAGAAAGATAGTTACTCTCTCAATCCTCCTGTCCATTCGTTTGGTATTGTATTGGTACATGTATGCCATTTTTCTGGGTCTGCTGTTTTTCATATGTTCTTAGGAGATGTTTCTTCTCTTTTGAGTCCATAATCTAGCAAATGTCATCCCTTTCTTTCCAAATACAATCCATATTACAACATATACAATTACATATATATATATATATATATATATTAGCCTTCTCTTCTAATAATAATCCTTACACTTCTAAATATACAAATGCTTTATTGCCCATAGCTCTTCCAGGCATGGATTTTCCCCTTAGGGCTTTTACTTCCCTGGTGAAATCTCAACGCATTCTAATTAATGTTGATTGCCATCTACTTTTGCATTTCAATGTTAGTTCTACATGGTAATTTTTTCTTCTCATTTACTGACTGTTTTTTCAAGAATGGTCTTTCCTTCTTTCAAGAAAGGAAGGTTTTCCTTTTGCTTAATGGTAAGATTCGGTAAATCACCATATTTCCCTGTAAACTTCTCTATTTTATTCCCCTATTCACATTTTTCTCCCAAATGCACTTTTTTTTTCAGCTTTAGGGAATAAACAGCATGTGTGTGTGTAAAATATGGTTAAGGATTGCTTGCTTGATCATGGGCAGCTATGGACATAATCTGTAATGAGGCAAATATTGACACGAGTGATACTCAGGCACTCATTGAACGAAAGTGAATGGTATTTCCAGCATCAGGTTTTATTTACAGGGGCTACAATAGGCACTACCTATAAATCTTGTAAGACATTATTTTGGTACTGAACATAGTGATAGGAAAGTGGAATTTTGGCTAACATTTGTACGACTATAGACAGACAAAGTCCAGCTGTGTTTTGATCCTTTTGAAAGGTGTTAGTCACGGCCAAAATTCTTTCGGGGCGTTTGATACTCTAAAAATCCCCAAGTCTGGGCTTTCACCGAACCAAAATTAAACACATCGTTTTTAGCTGCCTCCAGAGAGCAGCTCCATCATTCTTCGAGGCTTTCTGTTCTCCTGTCAGTCACACCTGATTTTAGTAAACGCGTCTGTCCTTCCCATTCCATAAAGTACAGCCGAAAACGTATTCGGTGTGTATTTAAAAACCTCTACATCAACGACCGCCCCTCTGAGCTGCGCGCCATCGTTACACTGTAACACTGGCATTTGCAAATTTCTTAGCGTCTCCTGCAGCAGTCAGGAAAAGTGGGAAGAACCAGAACAGAAGTGAAGTCGAAGCGGGCGCTCGGAGGTGCCGGGCTGCGCTCCCGTTTCCCCGCCCGGATCCCGGCAGGGACTGGACCCCCCGTTTCCCTGCTGCCGCCAGGAGGCGCGGCAGCGCTGCTCCCGCCGCCGCCGCTTCCCCCTCGGCCGGGAGCCCCTCTGCGGGGCCGAGCAGCGCGGCCCCTCTGCCAGGAGCCCCCCGCCGCCTGCAGCCCCTCCACCGGGAGCCCCTCCGCGAGGCCGGGAAGCGCAAACCCTCCGCCGGCAGCGCGTCCGTGGGGCCGGGCCGGGGCCGATCCCGCACGGGGAACTGCGCCGCCGTGTGCGCGTCTGGAACTCCCCCCGCGCCGCGCCGCCCCCTCCGCGCTCTTCCGCGGCCGCACTGCCAGCAGCAGGGGAGGCAGCTTTGCGGGCAGGGCGAGGGAGGAGAGGAAGGTGCCGGAGGAAGGAGAGAGGGGGGAAGGCGGAGACGGGGCCAGCCCGAGGAAATCAAATAGCCCCGACATGATTTAGGCAGCGGCTATAGAGGGGAGGGCCCCCTCCCCCGCTCGCTGCCTCGCTCGTTCGCTCGCTGGTCCCCGCACGGCGCCGGCGGGAGCAGCGCCGCCCCGCTCGGAGCGGCGGCTCGGGGCGCGCACGCACACACGGACCAGCGGCGGCCGGGCGAGAGGGCGGGGGGGCCGGCAGATGAAGATGGCACTGTCTGTGATCCAAGCGTGCCGCAGCCTGGCGCTCTCAACATGGCTGCTGAGCTTTTGTTTCGTGCATCTGCTGTGCCTGGACTTCACCGTGGCCGAGAAGGAGGAGTGGTACACGGCTTTCGTCAACATCACCTACGCCGACCCGGCGGCTGGCAGCGCCGAGCTCCGCAGCGAGAAGAGCGAGTGCGGGCGCTACGGCGAGCAGTCGCCCAAACAGGACGCCCGCGGGCAGGTGGCCCTTTCCGCCTCGCCCGCCGACCGCTTCGCCTGCGACCCCGGCACCCGTTTCAACGCCCCGGCGCCGGGCAAGAGCTGGGTCGCCCTGATCCCGCGGGGAAACTGCACCTACAAGGACAAGATCCGCCACGCCGCCGCCCAGAACGCCTCCGCTGTCGTCATCTATAACGTGGGCTCCAGCAACGCCAACGAGACCATCACCATGCCCCACGCAGGTAAGCCACGCCACCTCCAGGCGTGTGCTGAGGGGGAAGACGGATGGACCTCCTTTTCTAGCTCGCTCTGCCGTCCCGCATCCTTGGGGTAGGAGCTACTGCGGGAATGTGTCCTCGCACTTCCTGACAGGGAGCAGGATCAGCTGTGGGCGTCGTTGGGTGGTGGGTGCCCGTGGTGGGGGCCATGGAACTCCTCACCATGCTGCCATGGTAAAGGATGGATGTGCTGTTAGCATATCCATAGCAATGCACACCGTTGCTCCAGGGATTAAAAGTTTGGGACATGTAAAGTTTGCGTCCAGTCAGAGGAATGGGACGCTGATCCCGCTGTGGGGGACCGGTGTTTCGTTGTGTCCTGAGAGTTCTCTGGCGGGTGCCGTATGGGATCGAGTGTGATTGAGAACTTCGGAAGAGAAGTTGTAGTGTTGTGCTACAGGCTTATCAGGAGGTGCAATAAAGTAGAGAACACGGTGTCCACAGTCTCAGCTGCGATAGTGTAAAAGCACTAAAATTCGAGTAGGAATGCCGAGTATCTGATTTGGTGAGAACATGAGATATGGTGTCCAGGACTGGGATGGCGGGAGTGTTTCACTCTCCCAGGTGAATGTTCTGGTGGAGTTTGCGCTTGCAGTATCAGTACATAGGTGGTCAGGTCCCAAAATGTGCTTGTCAGCTGGAACCCGTCAAAATCCAGTCATTCAAAATAACCTAAACCCTGGCTTATGCCCGCAAAAAAACCCCCACTGTTTCTGTACCAGTGCTTGATCTGAAATAGTGTCTTAAAAACAGTTCACCGGATTTATATTTAGGGACAATGTTTTCTGCCAGGGGTCACTTGACTTTTATACCAGCTGCCTATGCCATGGAGATAAAATGCCACCTATTGTGAAATCTCAGTTTGGTTTCTATCCAGTAACTAATCCTGCCAGTTGAATCTTAGTAGAGTTGGGATAAATTGAAACACAGAAATGCTGCAGAACAGGATGTTATTCTAATGGCACGTTAAACTTCCACAGTAAACTAGCTAGCTTGGATGTGCTGAGAAGCAATTTGTTGACTAACCATAGTGCTAAAATACTGCTGATGCAAAAGCAGCGATTTTGGAACCTCTTGTGCCCAGCCTGTTTCAGAGATTAACTATTTTTTGGGGGCAAATTAGTGGTTTTTTGGTAGGGTTGGTGGAAGATGGGGCTTTTTTTAGTGTTTTCTTTTGGTTTTGTGAGACAAGCAACTCATAACCTCTTGAGCTTCCTAAAACTATGTTTTATAACCTGCCCATGGTTTAGCAGCTGTTCGGATTATACTTCTTGCTACTTTAAGTATCACAGATTATATACTAAGAAGTATAAAGCAGTAGGAGCTTGGCATACTTATGCATCCTCAAAGTAAAGCTCGAGCTGTTTTAAAACTTAAGATGCAGCATAGCTTGCTTTTCTCTAGTAAGTTTCTCTAAAACTGCCAACATGTTGGATTAATTAATGGTTTGCCTGTTTTTAAAGTATGCACTAAGCTGTTTTCCCACACAAATGGCGTTTTATTAAGAAATGTGGGAGTAAAAAATGTGTCTAACCTTTTAAAATGTTGGTGCTTGGGTTTGTTTTAAAGTCTAAGATGAAGTAGGAAAGGAAACTTTCTTACTGAAGGTGGCCTCAAATTTAAAAAATATGAACATAGTATCAATTATCCTGGGAGCAGCTTCTTTTATGTCATATAATTTCACAGGATTTGTTCCGAGAATCCTTTCTAGTACTGAATTGACACCCAGCAGTAGGTTTGTACAGCATCAGAGGCTGAAATGAGAGGAAACTTTCAGAAATTAATCTGGAGTTGTGGAACATGATCACTGAGACTGAAGGACTTTTCTCATTTATTTGATGAGGTTGTCTTCATTCTAAGGATTTTTATTCAGTGAAGTTGAATTATGGTTGTTGGGCTTACGCTAGTGAAAGCCTATCCTCTGCACATGGTCAAAACTGAGAGTAGTTTTAGAGCACAAGTCTGATGGAACAGAAGAAAAAACAATTATTCTTAGATATTTAGCAATCTAATAGGAATTCAGAACTTTACTCTCCCTCTGGTAACACTTTTACTCTGGGACAAAGTGAATAGTCAGGCTGTGTAAAATTGTGGCTGTGAGTTTCTAGCCTTTGACATTTGCTTGTTCCTTGTCTAAATGATAGCACAAGATTCAAGGGAAAAATGAATCAGTTTCTTGGTTTCTGAGTTCAGCAGCATCTGCAGTGTTCTGCCCACGCGAAATCCTGGAGTGGGAAGAAGAAAATTCCATCCTGGAAAATACTTGGAGGTTGAGAGGGAAGGGTGAAATATGACCTAAAAAGCAATTTAAGAGTCAAAAGAAATATGATGTTACTCCCTTTTTATTTTCTGTTTTCCTTTCACAGATTTTTTTGAGGTTTCATAGAAGCTTGAACTCTTCCTATACTGAAAAATGTATCCTGTTGCATAACAATGTGGCTCCTGCCCTTATTAAATAACTTTTACTCCTAAGAGCAATACTACTCCTAAGAGTTTTTTTTCCCCTTACATACATGTTTTGCTGTCTCTTATTGTCACTTTACCTCTTTGTGCTGCTTGTTCTGTTCCTCTCACCCTTGTTTCTTCATTTCTATCCCCATGCTTCATTCCCTGCCTTAACCACTTTGCCATTTCATAGTGCTTTGCCTTTGCCACTTTCTTCCCAAGGCACTTTCTCTTGCCAAAGAACTTAGCTCATGGCTCTATGTTTAATTATATTTCCTGTTTTTTGCTACAGTGCATGCCAATGACCTTTTGCTCACGTGGTGATCCCTGATTTTGAAATCTATAGGCAACTGTAGCAAGATACTGTGTGTGAAGTTGAAGGAGGGTTCATAGACCTCCCTCCCACCACCCCCAAATCAAAACCAGAGTAGTATAATATCAAAGCTTGCTGTGGAAATCTTAAAATATGACTCTCCAGAATTTATTTATAGAGCATACAGCACAAAATGTGCAATTTGAACCAGTTTCATCACCCCATGGAAAGCCTTTGCTTTTTACTGAGGTCACTCCTTGCACACCCAGAAGGATGAGGTGGAGTTAAGACATCTGCATTCATAGGGAATATGGAGATCTGGGAATCTCCTGCTAGGATGTCCTTAGCTTGTATATCATCTGCTACAGCCTGTGCAAACTGGCATCTTTATTATTATTGGCTTGAAGGATGGCATAGGAGCTGTATGACTTTATTTGCCTTTTGACTAAGTAGGCTCCAGCCAAAGGAAAAAAAGCATCTAGAATTTCTATTTCAGGTGCTTTGTATTTCTCCTAGATCAACTTTCCTAGCAGAAAAGTAATCTAATAATATAGAGGATGTTCTTTTTTATCCAGAAGAATAATCCATGGGGTTTCTCATTGAAATTTTTTCTTACTCAGACCAAATTAACCATTATCTAGGTTTGAAGTCACAGTAGACACTGTGACTACATTTAATAACTTAGTATTAATTTGCAGTTGTCTTACTACTTGTTGTAGCATATATCCTAACATTTCCTCTGAGCTCTGAATAGAGACAGTGAGAGAGCCTTCCAGAAGGTGATTTGAGGTGAGAACTTTCTTCTCTACAGTTCATATTTGAGGGAACCTACATGGACCATTTCTAACTTGGGAACCTCTCAGGTGCTTGGGGCAAGGGAGGAATGTTAACTGTGACTGTACATGATTCATATGTGGGCAAAAATCAAACCTAAAATATTCTACATACTTTCTAAGATTCAGTTTGGATTCTGAGGTGCATAAGATTATTTCACAGAATGGATATTGTTAATACGTGAAGTAAATTGCATCCTACGTATTTTGCACCAGGAGCATATGTTAGGCAGTTTTGCATTCTCCATATTCTGTTTTTCCAGTGCATTCCATCACAAATTTTAAATCACATGCCTCACCTATGACAACCCCTTTGCAATAAAGGGCAGATACCTTGTTCTTTTTGTAGTGGCTTGTACACACAGCAGCAAGTAGCAGCTGTATCTTTTAGACATTAATCTCATAAGTGGTCTAAGATGATTCTGACTTCTCTCCTCCCTCTCTGGCCCTCAAGTGCAGTGGGTGTATGTGCCAGACCATGAGGAGGGCATGGCCCATCCCATTGCAAATTCAGATGTGTCTCTCTGCATGTGCTGTAAAGGGGGCCAGACTCAACCTGGGAGCATTCAGCTCAATAACAGTCTCTGTGTTAGTAATAGTTTGGGCTTTGGGCTGCCCTGTAGATTTGTACTGATGTGCAAATTAAACACCAAAGTTGAATATTTCTCTCTTTACAGACTTAATTCAGCACTGTAGCTGCATTAGTTTCCTTATTAAAACAATTGTTTTTCTAAACTTTTTTGGAATTCTAATGAGGAAAATGTGCTGAGTGCATTCACACTGAATTTACGTATGGATAATTAATGGAGGGGTGGAAATTTCAGCTTTTCAGGGTCTGCCATAATTTTTTTCTATTCCAGGCACCAAGATTGATTCCTAATAGAAACTCACTTAGTGGGGGAGAGAGATGGAGATTAGTGCATCTCTGAGCCCTATACATTGAGGTGTTGCTGGGATGTACTGCCATCCTTAAGAACTCAGAAGAGCTCCTGGATCAATCATGTAGGCCCGGCTTTCTGCAGTGTTTGAAAATCTAGTTCTCTGTGTTTATCAAAATTCAGGATTTCTAGCTGACAGGCTGTCCCACTGCATTCCCTGGTGAGTCACGCTTCTGCTGCCAGCTCTGCTCTGAAGAGGTTCTAGACTGCTTTACTGCCCATGTTCAGCTGTGCTAGGTGGAGGGGGCACTTGATGCTGTTAGGTAACTAGTTCAGGTTAAACTGAATTGAAAGGAATTAATTTGACCTTCAAGAACTAGAACAGCAAAGTGTCCCCTGGCACTACTTGGGACAGCCACTTCAGCTGGGGTACTGAGTTTTGTCATTAGATGAGACACTTTTTACCTTATTGAGTCTTTCATCTTTCAGCCTCAT